CGCATCTCTTTGTCTTTCCTTGGAAATAACTGGTAACCCCCATTCCTGAATTTCTCTTACATCTACCGAACCTAATAAACTTCTTTCTTTAATCTTGGATGACAAATAGCACCTTAATCACAGGTTACACAAATGGGCACCATTTCTTTATGGCACTGACTACAATCCTTTTCCTTTTGCCACCCTAGGCTATTTGACATCCATGGCTCATGATTTTTGGCTTCTTTCAAATGCAAACAAGGCCATGGGGCAGGACCCTGGGAGATGAGCTCAACTTCATTGCATATCAGAAGGGAGGTATGTTCACCTCTGAGAACTGAGCGGCACAGACAATAAAATGAGTTCTTTCATTTATTTGCTAGGAATCCAAGGAACAGTCCACTTCCAGCCTTCTCCCAGCTATCCTAAAGTGCTATTTTGAGCTCTAAGAACTTCCTTTGAACATTTTTCCTAGGCATGGAAGGGAACTGTTTTTTTTCCCCTTGTCCTTACCCTACCCAAATTCTAGAATGTTTCCCCCAATTTAGATTCAAGAAATTGTCAGAAAGGAGGCTTACAACCTTCTAGTACTACTCTGTCATCCGTGTAAGTGCTCTATGGCCATCCCAGGGGAACAATGCTCTATGATCAGTTTATTCTGGAAAAAAGTGGGGAACCCTTCTATTTAAAGCTACTCTCAGCACGTACACTTTGATTATGTATGTTTTTCTCCTGGGTAGAGTCCTTCCCAACATCAGTCAGCTTATCCTAGAGTCACAAACTTAATGTAAACAAAGCAAAACAAAGCCTACTTTTGGCCTCTATTTGCTTTATGCTCAATCCCTTTCTTCACCCACAAAAATCAAACTTTGTTGGCATTTCTTCCCTTCTCCTAAGAACTTTTTTTCATTTTTAAAGATTTATTTACTTTGGGCCCGGCGCAGTGGTTAAGGTCCTCGCCTTGAACGCCCCGGGATCCCATATGGGCGCTGGTTCTATCCTGGCAGCCCCGCTTCCCTTCCAGCTCCCTGCCTGTGGCCCGGGAAAGCAGTCAAGGACGGCCCAAAGCTTTGGGACCCTGCACCCGCGTGGGAGACCCGGAAGAGGCTCCTGGCTTCGGACCAGCATAGCATCGGCAGTTGCGCTCACTTGGGGAGTGAATCATCGGACGGAAGATCTTCCTCTCTGTCTCTCCTCTCTGTATATCTGCCTTTCCAATAAAATAATAATAATAATAATAATAATAAATCTTTTAAAAAAAGATTTATTTACTTTTATTGGAAAGGATCTTCTGGATCTTAAGGATCTTCTGTCCGGTGATTCACTCCCGAAGTGGCTGCAATGGCCAGAGCTGGGCCAATCTGAAGCCAGGAACTTCTTCCAGGTCTCCCACACAGGTGCAGGGTCCCAAGGCTTCGGGCCGTCCTCCACTGCTTTCCCAGGCCACAGGCAGGGAGCTGGATGGGAAGTGGAGCTGCCAAGATTAGAACCAGCACCCACATGGGATCTGGGCGCATTTAAGGCGAGGACCTTAACTGCCACGCTATCACGCTGGGCCCTCCTAAGGACTTTTGAATACTCCCTTTCAGAAACATGCTGTTGACTTCTCTTAATGTGCTTCAATCTCTTCCTCTTTTCTTTCACGTAGCAGGTTCATTTTCCCTACTTGACATTAAATGTTAGAATACTTCAAATCTGGTTATCAGATTATCTTTTGTTTCCTTTTTTAAACTGCTGTATTTATTCATTTGAAAAGCAGATTAAACATAGAAGAGACAATGAGATCTTCCATTTGCTCATTCACTCCCCAAATGGCTGCAGTGGCCAGAGGGGGCCCATCCAAAGCTAGGAGCCAAGAGCCTCCTTCGGGTTTCCCATGTGGGTGCAGGGACCCTAGCATTTAAACAAGGCTCCGCTGCCTTCCCAGGTCGGTAACACCAAGCTACATCTGAAATGGGGCAGCCAGGTCTTGAACCCTTATGAGATGTCAGCACAGTAGGTGGTGGCTTTACCCTCTGCTTCACAGCACAGGCCCTTTTCTTCTCTTTTCACTCGAAATTTGGTTCTAAGCAATTTTTTCTACACCTGTAGCTTCATTTATACCGACAGGTCTCAAACGGATATTTGTAGGTCAGTCTTTTAAGACTTAATACAGAATGACTTTTTAACACTTGCTTGTTTGCAACACATCTGTATTTATTAATTTCAAACTTTCACAGGGAAGCAAAATTATCCCTGCCCACACTACTCCAAATATAGTAACAAAACGACACAATAGCCCATCAGCTCTCCAGTCCTGTCAATTCTATGCCCAGTCTCTCAAATCCTCTCTCTTCCCTTCCTCCATCTCCATCTTTACCATCTCAGTCAAAAATGGCATGTCAGGGCAGAGGTTTGTCACGCAGTTAAGACACAGCGACGAGGGTGGGTATTGCAGTGCCTGAGGCTGGGATGCCTGTATCCAAAGTCAGAGGGCTGCTTCTGGTCCTGCCCCCATCCTGGCAGGGAGCAGATGTGGATCCCAGTACCTGTAACCTGCCACCTGCCACCCTGTGGGAGGCTGTGTGTGGCGCCCGGCTGCAGCCTGACCCCCAGCTGGCTCTTTAGCGCCCTTGAAGAGTGAGCCAGCAGACAGAAGAGCTCTCTTCATACCTGTTTCTCTCTCTCTCAAAATATTCTTTCTGTGTAAATACTTTTTGTCCAACAGAACTTTATTTTTAACTTTCCCAGAAAAAGAAAATAATTAGCACTACAAGGAGAATTCGTTATTTGTTTTCAAAATAATATTTGCTGGGGCTGGTGTGGTGGTGCAGTGAATAAAGCCACTGCCTGCAATGCTGGCATCCCATATGGGTGCTGCTTCACGTCCTGGCTGCTCCCCTTTCAATACGGCTCTCAGTTTATGGCCTGGGAGAGTAGAGGAGGATGCTCAAAGCCTTGGGACCTTGCACCTGTGTGGGAGACCCAAAAGAAGCTGGCCCTTGAAGGTGAAGGATTAGCCAACTGAGCCATCATACCAGACCCTAATTGACCCTTTATACACACAGACACACCCACACCCGCACGTTGCTGTTATTTATTTATTTATTTTTGAGATTTTCAAAACGCTGATACACAGAGACAAAGGGGGAGGCAGAGAAATCTTCCTCCGTCGTTCACTCCTAAACGGCTATAACACCTTGGTTTGGGCGAGCACAAAGCAAGAAGACAGGAGTTTCTTCTGATTCCCCTATGTGGACATAGGGATTCAAGCACTTGGGCCATCTTCCACTGGTTCTCCAGGCACATTACCAGGGAGCTGGATCAGAAGTGGAGCAACTGGGATACAACTGATGCCTATACAACAGGCAACAACTTAACCTTCCATCCCACAACACTGGCTCCTCACATTGGTACCTAGTCTGTAAACCTTTTATATAAGCCTTTTACATCCCAGAATAATGACCAGAACAGACAGACAGACATGCACCTGTGCACACATGCGCACACACACACACACACACACACACAAAAGGGTGTTTTTTCTTTCTTTTTCGGAGATTTGCAAAGTCTTTATTTCAGTTTTTTTTTTTTTTTGCATTCCTGGTAATGCGCATTGCATGCATGATTTTAACACTTTCTTTTTTTTTTTTTAATTATTATTGGAAAGGCAGATATACAGAGAGGAGAGACAGAGAGGAAGATCTTCTGTCTGATGATTCACTCCCCAAGCGGCTGCAATAACTGGAGCTGAGCCAATCTGAAGTCAGGAGCCAGGAGCTCTTCCAGGTCTCCCACACGGGTACAGGGTCCCAAGGCTTTGGGCCATCCTTGACTGCTTTCCCAGGCCACAAGCAGGGAGCTGGAAGGGAAGCGGAGCCGCCAGGATTAGAACTAGTGCCCATAAGGGATCCCAGCATGCAAGACGAGGACCTTAATCACTCCACCATCGCGCCAGGCCCGAAAGAGTCTTTTTCAAAGCTAGTTTCTTTTTTTGCCTTAGATTCTCCTTAAGTAGGCCTGCACAATGGTGCGATTGCCTAATCCTCTACCTTCAAGCATGGGCCTCCCATGTGGGCACAGGTTCCTGTCCCAGCTGCTCTAGTTCCCATCCAGTTCCTTGTTGTAGGCCTGGGAAAGCAGTGGAGAATGGCAGTGGGAGGCAGTGGGACACGGCCCGAGTGCGTACATGTGGCAGACCAGGTTGGAGGTTCTGGTTCCTGGCTTCCAAGGGGTCAAATCCTGCCTTTTGGGGCATGCATGGCACATGCAAGATATAACTTTTTATAATTTTGCCTTTCAAATATACAAAAATTTTTTAAGATTTATTTATTTATTGGAAAGTCAGATATACAGAGAGGAGGAGAGACAGAGAGGAAGATCTTCTGTCCGATGATTCACTCCTCAAGTGAGCGCAATGGCCGGTGCTATGCTGATCCAAAGCCAGGAGCCAGGAACTTCCTCCAGGTATTCCACACAGGTGCAGGGTCCCAAGGCTTTGGGCCGTCCTCCACTGCTTTCCCAGGCCACAAGCAGGGAGCTGGATGGAAAGTGGAGCTGCCAAGATTAGAACCGGCGTCCATATGGGATCCCGGGGCGTTCAAGGCGAGGACTTTAGCCGCTAGGCCACGCCGCCGGGCCCACAAATTTTTATTTAAAGAAAGCTGTTACGTTTCTAGAAGTTCAAGGAAATATTTCTATGATGTGTTGCACAATAAAGCTCCCCTTTTGTTAGTGTTTCCTTTTTAACCGTGAGAATTCATTTATGTCACCTTTGGGGGTCATCAAACTTCCTCCAATATCACCCCATGTCTATCCATCACCGCGATATCACATGCTTTCCCGAAAGGGCTCAGGTGCCGCTCACGTCACCAGTCTGGGGGTGTGGGGTCCACCGCTGTCGGACCTCCCCCGGGAAGGGGCAGCCGGCGCCCGGGAAGGCCCGCCCACAGGGCGGAGACCGGGCGGAGCGGCGCGCTCTCCTCCGCCTCCTGGCACCTCACCGCTTCCCCGGAGCCGGCGGCGCATGTGCCCGGCGTCCCCTCCCCGGCCCTGGATTCCACTTCCCCTTCGCTCGCGCTGCAGCGGCAGCCGCCTCCAGGCCCCGTGCCGCCGCTGGAGTCCATGGCCGGGACGCGCTGGGTCCTCGGGGCGCTGCTCCGGGGCTGCGGCTGTAACTGCGGCAGCTGCCGGCGCTCCGGCGCCGCCTGCCTACCCTTTTATTCCGCCTCGGGCTCCTTCCCCTCCGGAGTCTCCGGCCGCCGCCGCCTGCTGCTGCTGCTCGGGGCCGCCGCCTCCCAGACCCGGGGCCTTCAGCTCGGGCCTGCGCCCGCCGGTACACTGGCGGGCCCTGCCCCCGCGGCCACCTCCGCCGCCGCCGCGGCCGCCGCCGCCTACCCGGCCCTGCGCGCCCCTCTGCTGCCCGGGGCCGCGGGCACGGCGCGGGGCTACAGCCAGGTACGTGGGCGCCGCGAGGGCCGCGCGCCGGAGCCCCCTTCCCGGCCGCGCGCACGCGCCGCACACCGGCCCCCTCCCCCTCTCCGGTCCGCTCCGTCCTCCTATTGGGCCCGGGAACAAGGGACGCTCACCCAGGCCTCCCGATTGTTTTTTTTTTTTTTACCCCCTCGTTTTGTTCTCTCTTTGAGTCTCTCTGGTCGGTTGGGCAAGTCTTAAGTGTGACTGGGGTGAATGTTGAGGCCTTGTTTCCCGCCGGGCCCATGGTAGGTTTGGTGAGGCTGCTGCGGACCGGCCTCCTTTGCTCCCCGCATCCCTCTCGCTCTCCACCCGCTGCTCGTCAAGTTGGGAGGCCGGACCCCGCGCCGGGTGGCGGGGAGCTTCGGTGCAGCCGACCCGCCGGGCCCCGGAGGGTTCACGCTCCCGGTGGCACGGCCGGCCTGTCGGGGAGAAGCCAGGGCCCCCGGCGCGCGCTCCTTGCTCGTGTCCTCGGGCCACGGCGCGCTGCCCCACTTTCCTGAAGGTCACCTCTGGGAACTCCGCTTGCTGTGACGGAAGGCCCTTCAGGATTGTGGGTCACGGGGAAGAACAGTTTGGGGAGCGGAGCGTTTGATTCCGGGGCATGGGGACAGATTGCTGGGCTCGGGCGGGCGGGGCGGGGGAATGCGCTTGCAGGGTCGAGGCCACAATGTGGGGGTCCCAGGAGTTCAGTGCACAGGGTTTTCCTGTTAAGAACTCCGATGGCAGATGTTTGGCACCTCGTCTGTGAGGCTAGGTGGCCTCTGCGAAGTGACTGCACACTTTGGACTGTCCTTCATTCTGAGGTGTTTGTCTTGATTCAGTTTGTGCTTCTCTTTGAATTTCTGGAAGCTGCAAGATTAATCGGCATGGCTGCTCTCTGCCAGGGGCTGAGCTAATTGATTTGAATCCTGGCCCAATACTTTGCTACTGCCCTTTTTCTGTAAAGCTTGTCATACTGCTTTTTGGAAGGCTGGGAAAACGGGGAAAGTTGCCTTAAAACAAACACCCCCTTCGCCAACTGAACCTTAGCGAATCACCTGCTCTTATTTTTTCTTTTCTGTAAAATTGAGGACAGTGGTAGAATCTGTTGAGCATCTCCCAGTACTGCGCGTTAGACGCAGTGCTGGCATGCATGCTTGGTTCCTTAGTAAGGGAAGACATCCTAAGACAGGGCTTGGGGGACACGGGGCGTGTTGCTGCGCTTTCCTGTTTTCTGAGCTCAGTGGATGTGTGTTAAGCTCCTGCTGGCCTCGCACTGCGGCGGCCTTTTTTGATGCCCGCCCCGTGTTGAACCGTCCTGGGGTGCCAGCTGATAGGTCAGTCTGCGGGGCATCCTGGCCCTGCATTTACCCACTGCGTTGTCTTTATTCCCTCTGGCTGCCTGGCAGAGGGCATGGGTGCCCAGGCTCCAGGCCTTGTGCTGCATCCTCCCGAGGTCCTTTTGCCAGCTCATTTTCTTTGGCTCCGAGTGCGTGTAGTTGCCGTTTTCCAAATGGGCCTTGGTTTTTGTGGCTGCTTTCCCCGCCTCTCCCGCTGTAATGCCCCGTCTTGTGTACATCTGGTATCCCATCTTGATTCTTTAGTTAGTGCTGTGTTTTATAACCCTTCTTACTTGAAGCCTTAGTTACAGCACTTAACGTGTGTTGTCTCATATGCTTGTCAAGATATGAATCTCTTGGAGAGAGGGGAGTCTGAGCTATCTTGTAGTATCTCAGTTAAACGTGAGAGGTGTAGTTTGAGGCTGATGAATTTTAAAATTTATGGCCTGCCATATCACGAGAGTATGCTTGCCTCTTGCTTTAGGATGTACATTTGAAGCCAAAACAGGACCTGTTCAATTTGGCAAGTTTGCATTTTGCCTCTGAAATGTTACTAATATGTAGAGCATTCATTTGTAGAAATCAACATTTTCCCCAATAGGTTGTCAGACACATTTTTACACGTCTTCATTTGTCTCGGAAGGAGTCCAAACCCACCTACCTGGAAGACCTTCCGGCCCTGCCCGAGTACGACCTGGCCCCGCCCAAGCTGGGAGAGGAAGTGGATGATGTTTTTCTCATTCGCGCGCAGGGGTTACCGTGGTCCTGCACCATGGAAGACGTGATGAACTTCTTCTCGGGTATGTTTTAAATGTGGGACTTCTTGGGAGTCGAAGGGAATCCTGCGAGATCCTGCAGGTGCGCTGTGGGCGTTTTGCTTGGTGATTGGGAATACTTTTATGCTGGCTGCTACCCTGGTCCGACCGTGACACCATGGGTTCCGACTGGTCTGTATTTGCCAGGTTTTTAAGTGAGTACAGTGAAAGTGTTTGCTATTAAAACTGTGGTATCAAAGCCGTTTTCTCTGGTTTTAATATGAACATATCAGAAAGCTACACCTGTTCATGGGGATACTGGGTTAAGAGCAGCGCTTTCTGTGGTATATCCACTTAGAATGCAAGATCACTTAATACCAAATGGTGGAGATCCCTCTGTCATGGGTTTTGACATGATACAATCTGTGTTCTTAATTTCTGTATGTGTGGCTCTTTAATTTGATCTTCAAGAGATTTTCAGAAGATGCCACTGTAAACTGGGGTAGAATAGTCTAACATTTGAATTAGTCCCGTCATAAGAGGTGCACTAGGGCAGCCCTTTCCTTCCTTCTGCAAAGGGGGTGAGGGATAAAATGTGGTAGCAAAACTATTCTTAGAGGAGGTGCTTCAGAAGCCTGTGGTTATGACTTTAAAGGAAGACGGCTGTGCAGCAGCCCAAGCACATTTAAATCCCATTAAGTGATGGGAACTGACGGAGAAGCAGAGGCAAGGACTTAATGCATTTTGTGTTGGGTCAGGAAAGCCTCCGTGCCAGGCTGAACTGCCCTTTTCTGCTTGGCGTGCTGTAGAGCTCCTTCCTCACAGCGTTTGGATGGCTCCGGAGATGGAGGTTGTGTAAGGAGCATGACAGATGTTTCTGGATAATTGCATGCTAGCCACTTGTGAATTTGAGCTGAAAGTTTGCTTTTCATTGATTTTTCATTCACTCTCAGACTGCAGAATCCGGAATGGTGAGAATGGAATACATTTCCTCTTAAACAGAGATGGGAAGCGAAGGGGCGATGCCTTAATTGAAATGGAGTCTGAGCAGGATGTGCAGAAAGCCTTGGAGAAGCACCACATGTACATGGGCCAGCGTTACGTGGAAGGTGTGTGAAGTTCTGGCTTTGGAAGAGGGGTTCCATGTTTGTGCTTTTCAGAGATGTTTTCGTTTAATCCCCAATAGTAGTGAAGTTGTTAGATATTTTAGGGATGTTGACCAAATTGTCTTGAGAGTTGAGTGTCTGGAACACCTCATGCCTTGTGAGAGTGGCTGAGTTCAAGAGCAGCAACTGCTCCTTGTCCAGCTTCCTCATGTGCATCTTACGTAGCCGACACCCAGATGCTCGGGTCCTTGTGAGCCACATAGGACACCTTAGTTATTAGATAACTCACCAAGGGGTAATACAGATTTGATTTTAAAAATAGCCTCTTCCTTTGTTCTGTGAAGTTTACACTCATGCTGTGCCTTTTCTGCGTAGTGTATGAGATAAACAATGAAGATGTGGATGCCTTAATGAAGAGCCTGCACGTCAAGTCCTCGCCTGTGGTGAACGACGGCGTGGTCCGTCTGCGAGGACTTCCCTACAGTTGCAATGAGAAAGACATCATAGAATTCTTTGCAGGTGTGTCTCACTCTAATGTGTGGGGTGTCATTTTTTGCTCATTTCCCTCTAATTATCTCCTGTATTTTATTGTGTGAGCCCTTTAGGAATTATTAAATTTCAAAATAATCTCTTATTAAAGTAAATATCTCATGACACGAGGCCCTACTTCAGACAGTAGCAACTTCTTTGGCTTCGAAGTGTTGTCTAATTCCTACTAAAATTAGTTATAATAATGTTAGCCTCAGTCTCCATTTAGGGTGCTTCAGAAAGTTCATGGAAAAATGAAAATAGGAGATTAGGTTATTTTGGTGCAGCTTCATGCATGCTTTTTTTCATAAAATGTGTTTTCCATAAACTTTTTTTTTCTTTTTAAGATTTATTTATTTTTATTGGAAAGGCAGATATACAGAGAGGAGGAGACACAGAGAGAAAAATCTTTCATCTGATGGTTCACTCCCCAAGTGATGCTGAGCCAATCCAAAGCCAGGAGCCAGGATTTCTTCCTGATCTTGCATGTGGATGCAGGGTCCCAAGGCTTTAGGCCGCCCTCAGCTGCTTTCCCAGGCCACAAGCAGGGAGCTGGATGGGAAGTGGAGCTGCCGGGATTAGAACCGGCACCCATATGAGAGCCCAGCTTGTTCAAGGTGAGCACTTTAACCACTATGCTCTTGTGCCGGGCTCTCCCATTAACTTTTTGAAGAACCCTTTTGTGCATGGATTTCACAAGATTTTTGCATCAAAGTCAACTTACTCTGATTCCTTCTTCCATGAACTTTTTGAAGTACCCCTTTTAATGGTCTTTGCTTACTGATGGAATCTGTTCTGAGAAAGGTGTGCCTGGGGGCTTTCTCCTTTAGTGAGCATGGAGCAGTGTGCTTACACAGACTGAGATGGCTTTGACGTCACTAGGCAGGGATCTTATGGGACCAGTGTCCTGTGCTGTTGTGTTTATGGGGTTGTTAGGCAGTGTGTGACTATTGGTACCCCATGAGTAAACAATGGATAGGTGTGTGTTTTAGAGGGGCTCTTTAGGCACCAGACATTTTGGAAATGCAGATATTAAATTCTGGCTGTCCTATCTGAGTACATCTAGCTTTAGGACAAGCAAAACAAGATGTAGGTTCTCTTAATAATTATGTTAGTTTTAAGATAAAAACCATTTCTGTTAGCACTGATTTGTAGTAATTTTTGGGTATCCTAGGTCTCAATATAGTAGACATTACTTTTGTGATGGACTACAGAGGGAGAAGAAAAACAGGGGAGGCCTATGTGCAGTTTGAAGAACCTGAGATGGCCAGCCAAGCCCTGCTGAAACACAGGGAAGAGATTGGGAAGCGGTGAGTGAAGGGGAGCCTGTTTGTCGGTGGCAGAGGTCCTGCAGGTCAGCCTGATGCATGGACTGGACCGAGAATGTGAAATTGTCCAAGTGCTGCAGAGCGGGGAGGGGAGGCTTCTGAGCTGTCGTGCCTGTCACTTGGAATAACAAATGATAGCATCTGTTAGATTTGTTTGATCTCTCTTTTCAGTATGCATCTTAAAACGCCATTGTCTTACATAAGCACTATGATCATGTGTAAAAAGTCAGCAGTTATCTAATAGCCTACAATGACACGTTCCCACGTGTACCAAAAATACTTTTTTACAGTTGGTTTAGAATTCTGCGTTCACATGTTGCATTTGATTGTTGTCTCTTAATTTCTTTTGTAAACTGGAGCATATTATTTATTCCCTTGCCCTCTTTTTTTTTTCCAAGATTTATTTTTTAAGATTTATTTGCAAGGCATGTTTACAGAAAAACGGAGAGACAGAGACCTTCCATCTGCTAATTCCTCACATGGCTGCAGTGGACGGAAGCTGAGCGGCTCAGGAGCCTAGAGCGGCTTTCTGGGTCTCCAACAAGAGTAAAGGTCCCAAGGACTTGAGTGATCCTCTGCTTCTTTGCCAGGCCACAGGCTGGGAAGTGGAGCACCTGGGACATGAACTAGAGCTCACTGTGGATGCTGGTGTGACAGGTGGAGGATTAGCATGTTGTGCTGCTGTGCTGCCCCCACCCCTTCTCTGTTGAAATGCACTTGGCGTTGGAAGAAGTTGGGTCTGCTGTTGTGTACTGTGTCTCATATAACACCAGTTGGGATGCAAATAATTATGGAGGTAGTTTGAGTTGGAACTTTACTTTTTGAAATGTAGAAGATGCCAAATTTTAAATCATTGTTTTGCTGCTTTCTACTCTTTTTAACTCAAAAAAAGGTGTGTCAGGTCTTTTAAGCAGAAATGCTCATTTAATCTTTGTTAAATATTTGTTTTTATTGGAAAGACAGATATACAGAGAGGAGGAGAGACAGAGAGAATGGTCTTCCAATCTGCTGGTTCACTCCCCAAATGGCCGCAACTGCTGGAGCTGAGCCAATCCAAAGCCAGGAGCCAGGCGCTTCTTCCAGGTCTCCCATGTAGATGTAGGGTCCCAAGGCTTTGGGCCATCCTCTACTGCTTTCCCAGGCCATAAGCAAGGAGCCAGATGGGAAGTGGAGCAACTTGGGACATGAACTGGCACCCATATGGGATCCAGGCTGGTGCTTAAAGGCAGGATTAGCCAGTTGAGCCATTGTGCCAGGCCCAATCTTTATAAGTCTGTAAATGAAAAATAATTTTACAGTTCACATGTAATAACTCTGCTTCAAAAAGCAGTGTTGAAAAAAATCTGATTCTAAACACTGCATTTAATAGTTAGTCCCTTTGCTGCTGCAACAGCTAGTCAGCATGACCGTTCGTGGTTCTCCAGCTTTATCCTGAACTTCTGGGGAAGTCATGTCTCACACTGTGGTTTTTTGTCTCTTATAAGAGCACTGCTCATGGAATTGAATTTCGAGGCTCCTATAGATTGTTGACCACTGTGTGTGTGTGTGTGTTGGGGTGGAGGGCTTCCTGTAGCTGCTTTTCTAAGTACATAATTGGCCTCACAGAGTTATTCACATGGAGCAAAACAGGGCTTAAGAAATACTATGCAAATAGGTTTGAAGGAGCTGGTTTTGGGGCAGCCCACTCTATGGTCACCGGTTTATGTTCTGGCTGTTCTGCTTCTGATCCAGTTCCATACTAATGACCTAGGAAAAACAGCGAGGATGGCCCGGGCCCTTGAGCCCCTGCATCATGGGAGACCCAGCTGAAGCTCCAGGTTCCTGCCTCCTGCCTGGTACAGCCCTGCTTGCTGTGGCCATTTGGAGAGTGAATGAACAGGTGGAAGACTAGTGTTTTTCCCCTCTCTGTGTTTCTGTAACTTTCCCTTTCAAATAATTTTTCTAAAAATCTTTAAAAGGTGCGTTTTAAGAAAACTGTTACTTTTGGAACCTCAGTGACCTACTGTCATGGGCTTAAGGTATGTTTCTGTTATCAGTTTGGAAACTTGGCGTTTCTAAGCTGTTGGAAATGTAACATATGCATGTTTGTTTTAAATCCTTTCGTTGTGAAGTTAGCTGTCGTCATCACTCACGCCTGCTCGTGTTTGCTTTCACACAGGTATATAGAGATATTTCCAAGCAGAAGGAATGAAGTTCGAACACATGTTGGCTCTCACAAGGGGAAGAAAGCTGCATCTCCCACTGCGAAGTTTATCACGGAGCCGGAAGTGGTCTTTGAAGAACAGGAAGTGAATGAGGAGGTTCGCCCCATGACAGCTTTCGAAAGTGAGAAGGAAATAGGTAATCTTGCATCTCCTTATACTCATCTTAGGTATTTTGCTTTTTGTTAAAAAGCTGTTTTTCTTTAAGATCATGTGGTATGAAATGATAAGATGATATGATAACTGAGTTATAGGTTAGAAGTAGTCAGTTGTCTCTGTGGCGAATACTTTGAATAAATGCAGGATGTAAATGTTCAGTTAGTTTTATTTTTATGATTTTTTTTTTAAAGAATATGTTTGAGAAGTGATGTGAGAAAGAGATCTTGCATGTGCTGGTTCAGTCCCCAGCTGGCCTTAATGACTGAGGCTGGTCTAGACTGAAGCCGGAAGCCCTGAGCTGCAGCCGGTGGCCCATAGGTGCCGGGGCCCAGGCCTGTTATTGGGGAGCTGAGCTGGAAGCTGAGCATCAGGCCTCTAGGGAACATTGAGATGTGAGATGCTAGCATTTCAGGCGGCAGCTTCACCCACAGCCCTGTGGTGCTGGCTCCTGGTTAGCTGTATTTTTACTTGAATCATTTTATGGGCTGTAAATCAAAAGCTTGATAGTAAAAATGAATGAAAGGAAGTAAAGTGACAGCGTTTAAACTAAGGAGCATGAGGATGTAGGTGGAGACTAGGAATATTGACTGAAGTATGGATTGGTATTTACTTCTGGATTTTATTCCTTCTTTGATTCTTAATTCAGAGTAAATTGAAATCTTGGTCTTGGAAGGTTGGTAAATACGTTTTTATTCAGAGTGGAGCGGCAGATTTCACTGAGAGAGCTTCTTCCTGCTTGCTTACTCCCCAGATGGACATCAACTCAGCAGCCAGAGCTGAGTTGATTTGGAGCTAGGAACTTTGTCCTGGTCTCCTGTGGGTGCAGGGGCCCAAGGACTTTAGCCATCCTTCACTACTGTCTCAGGTCATAAACAGGGAGCTGAATCAGAAGTGGAGCAGCTGGGACATGAGCCAGAGCCCATATTGGATTGATGACTCTGCCGGCGGAGGATTAACGTGTAGCACTACCACGTTGGCCCTGATAAAGACCTTCTAAACTCATACTCAGGGATATCTGTCACATTGCTTAGTATTAATTCTTTTTTTGGGTTGGGGTGGCGCTGCACATAACCCAGAAGGCTTTCTCTTGCTTTCATAGTATAACTCATAATATTTTACTTTTGCTCTGTTGTTACAGAAAGCTAAGTTCTTAGTGTGATGATGGTTGGAGATACTAAATGCTTATGGCTGTTTAGGTGATGTTTGCTAAGCAGAAGAACTTTCAGATTTTTTTTTTTTTTTAATGTTTGAAAGACAGAGTTATAGAGAGAAGAGAGATTGAAATGCAGGGACTCTACCAGGCCAAAGCCAGGAGCCCAGAGCTACTTCTGAGTCTCCCATGTGGGTGTGGAGGTCCAAACACTTGGCTATTTTTTTTTTCCCAAATACATGAACAGGGAGCTGAGTCAGAAGTGGAGCAGCCAGGACCTGACGATGCCCATATGAGACGCCAAAGTGCAGTTGGAGGTTTACCCACTCATTTTGGGCTTTAAAGCTTTTCTTTACTAGTTTAAGAGGAATTGAGAGGTTTTGACATAAATGTGAGAATGCTCTGTTAGGAACCCCCGGCGTTGTTGGGGTTATCACAGTGGTTTTTGTTCCGTTTCTCAGAAATGCCTAAGGAGGTTGCAGAAAGGCTTCCCGAGCCTGGCGACTTCGTGACGGCGCCTTCCCTGCATGTTGTCCACATGAGAGGACTGCCCTTCCAAGCCAACGCCCAGGACATTATAAATGTAGGTGGCACTGTTTGAACAAGTTCTAACCTCGCCTTGTGTTCATTCGGGGAGGCCGAGAGCAGGCCACACAGGCTCTGCAGTCTGAGCGGTAACAGCATCTCCCTGCTGGCAGAGGCTTGTTTTGATTTCCGTGTTTCGAGGTGTGGGTTTTTATTATTCTTACTGTATTTTAAAGTCAGAAAAGTCTTAGAGGATAAGATGGAAGGAGCCGGACAGTTTGCTGTCATTCGTTTGTGCATTCCCCTAAATGCTTGTAACCGGAGGGACTGAAGCGGGGAACCAGGGACGCAATCCCCATGTCTCACGTGGGTGCTGGGGGCCCAGGTGTTCGAGCCGTCACAGCTGCCTTCTTGAGTGCAGCATCAGGCACTCCGTGTGGGATGGAGGTGTCCGCACGGACATCATAGCTGCTGGGTTACATCCTGAAATGGAGAGTAAGATCCTCAGTTCATCACAACTCAGTTATGTACTAGACAAGAATCTGGTACTACTTTTTTTTTTTTCCTTCAAGATTATTTTTTATTTGAAAGAGTTATACAGAGAGAGAGAGATATTGTCCATCTGCTGGATCATTCCCAAATGACCACAGTGGCTGGAGCAAAACCAGGAGCCAAGAGCGTTCCCTGCACCTCCTGTGTGGGTTTAGGGTCCCAAGGACTTGGGCCGTCTTCCACTGCTTTCCCAAGCCATAAGCAGGAAGTTGGATTGGAAGTGGCACAGCAAAGACACAAATTTGGCACCCAAGCATCTGGTACTTCTAAATGCGTAGATTTTCATTGGGTACCATGTGGCTTGCTTGCAACATCTGTATGAAATGAAAAAAGTAAAATAGCAAAGCCCTTGATTTTTTTGAACTTGAGGACAAAAAGTCTTAGTAACGGGACCTCTTTTTCATTATTTCATAAAGTCTAATAGCAATAACACCCTGTTTCCCCCACCCCCAGGGTTATGTATTCATTTGGAAGAGCTACAAAGGAAGGGAGGAGCAGAGGCTGGGCCAGGCAGCAGCCAAGAGCTTCCTCCAGGTCATTCATGTCCATGTCAGGACCTCAGCCACTGGGTCCTCTGCTGGGTTGGTAGAACAGCATGACATGAACTGGTGCCCATAGGGGGTCTCAGCAGTGCAGGCAGTGGCTTAATTCACTGTGCCACAAGGCCAGCCCGAGGAATCGTGTCTTAAATTGCGCTTAAAAAAAATTTTTTTAAATTATCTTTATTGGAAAGTCAGAGAGGAGGAGAAACAGAGAAAGATCTTCCGTTTGCTGATTGACTCACCAAGCGGCCTCATCAGCCAGAGCTGTGCCAATCCGAAGCCAGGAGCCAAGAACTTCCTCTGGGTCTCCCACAAGGGTGCAGGGTCCCAAGGCTTTGGGCCGTCCTCAGCCCAGGCCACAAGCAGCAGGGAGCTGGATGGGAAGCGGGGCCACGGGTACCAGAACTGGCACCCACATGGGTTCCTAGTGTGTGCAAGGCAAGGACTTTAGCTGCTAGGATAATGTACCCGTCTCCAAATTGTACATTTTTATGAAAGCATTATGCTGTATTGCTTTGGTTTTTAATCATGACTGCTCAAGTGTGATAGCAGTGTTTATATAGCACTGGTAGGATAGAAATCTCTCAGGCTTATATCTCATTACAAAAATGGTGAAAAGTTAATCATCGTAAAAAGTTAGGCATATTTGATGGGCGTTCGTGAACAAGAGGAAGGATGTGTGTGGGAAGTCATGAAAGTGGTCCTTGTTGGTTCCCAGGGTGTGTGAGAGCTGTTTGTGCCGTGATTGTAGCAGACCCTTGAAATGTAACCCCGAGTTCTGAGCAAGGGAGGTCAGAGGAGCTGGTAGGTGTAGCAAGTCCGAAAAGCGGTTCGCGGGGCTGTGGGCCGGGGGCGGAGACGCGCGGAGGGGGCGGAGGCGCACAGGGACTTGGTGTCACTCTGGCCTGCCCTCTGCCCAGTTCTTCGCGCCGCTGAAGCCGGTGAGGATCACCATGGAGTACAGCTCCAGCGGGAAGGCCACCGGGGAGGCCGACGTGCACTTCGACAGCCACGAGGACGCCGTGGCCGCCATGCTCAAGGACCGCTCCCACGTCCGTGAGTACGCCTCCCTGCTGGCCAGGCGCCGCAGCACCGTCTGTGCCTACTGTGACTGCTGGGAATTGGCCCGCAAGTTTTCCTTTGGAAAATACAGGATAAAACACCGAGTATTATAGTGAAAAACACTTTCTCACCTGTTAATTAATCTGCATTTTAAAATTCAGAATTAGGTAGAAGCATCATTGTTGTCTTTTTAGTTTTCAGTTACAGAATGGAAATGGCAAAGAATTTGGGTTGTTTTCTGAACTAAAAAGAAAGATTCCAACATGTTTTTTTTTTCTCATTTTTCCTTTTTGACCTTTTAAAGCTAATGTTTTTTTTGCTCTGTTCTGTCTTTAATTTTTCTCAGATCACAGATATATTGAGCTCTTCCTAAATTCATGTCCAAAAGGAAAATAAAACTTCCAGGGACTCCGCAAAATAAGGTAAATTTCAGAGGTGTGATTATTTTGAATTGCTAACAGTTGTCAGCTCACTGGTTTGTAATATGGTGGCAGCAGCTTTGTTCAATAAAGGTCAAAGTCACCGCAATCATTGAAGCCTTAGTATAAAGATTGAAACTCTCCTGGGAAATGATGGTATAATGGCCTTACTTTCTTTTTAAATGTTTTAAATTTTCGTTTAATTTGAGAAGCGGACAGAGACAGACATCTGACATTGGCTGGTTCTCTCCACATAATGCCTGTATGGGCCAGGGCTGGCCCACCTCTCACAGCACTCCAGAATCGGCCCAGCTTTCCTGTGGTGCCTGGGAGGGACCCGACCGCTTGAGCCGTGCCCTGCTGCTCACGGGCATACTGGCATGCGCTTCGACAGAGAACGCTGCCATGCCAAGTGGCAGGTTTTCTTTCTTTTTTTATTTTTTTAAGACTTAGTTATTGATTTCACAGAGTTGCAGAGAGAGAGGGAGAGACAGAAATCTTCCAGTAGTTGCTTTACTTCCCAGATGGAAGCAGTGGCCAGAGCTGGGCCAGGCTGAACCCAGTAGGCAAGAACTGCTGGGTCTCCCACTTGGATATTGAGGTCGAAACACAGGCCATTAGCATGGAGCTGGTTTAGAAGTGGAGTAGTCAAGAGTTGAAACTGCACCCGTATGGGATCCCGGTGTTGCAGACTGCGGGTTAACATGCTGCACAGCAGCATCTTCATGGCTGTGGGAAATACCCCTGGAGAGTGGGCTTGAGCCTTATCCCCTTGTGGAATCTTTTCTTCATATTTTCATAATTTCCAAGATTCATCATGCTATGTGGTGAAGTTATTGGAATGGGAGTTTGGCACAGTGTTTAAAGTCCCTCCGCATTGGCGCGCCTGGCCGTGAGCCCAGCGCTGCTTCTGCTCCCAGCTGCCTGCTGCTGAGGTCGTGCCAGCCACGCGGGGGACCTGCGCAGGGTGCCTGGCTCCAGGCTTCTCCCAGCTTCTGCTGTTGCAGGTGTTCGGGCAGTGGGTTGGGTGGTGACACTTTCTCTGCCTCAACTGATAAATGAATAGATGAAATTTAAAATTTAAAACATATCTTTACTGGCTGCAATTCATAATATACTGTAAATGTGTCTTGCATTGTCTTCTCATCAAAATTTAAGTTTTTTCCCTAATTCTAAGATTTTTAAGATGTTTGAAATGATACATGGGAAACCAGGCCGTGTCCTCAATACAACAAATTTACAACAGTGTGCTACTGTTTCCTTTTTTATTAAATGATGTTATAATGAAATATTTCATGTATGACTTATCTAAGTCATTTTGCTAAGTAACTTGATGTCTTTTCCATGTCTAAATACATGTTGTCTGTTGTCCCCTTTCCCATAAAGTATTTTAAAATAGAGCAGTCTTTTTTCTGCTTGTAGTTATAGATTCTTCAAGACAGTTCACTGTAATGATATAATGAAGACACATGAGCATTCTGACATTAATAAGCATCATGAGCTATGTTTGGATATAAAGTCCCACAATTCAGTGGTGTTCTATATTTCTTTTAGCTAATTTTTATGTAAAATCTATGTTATACTCTGTTCTGAAAGTCTATCTTCATCCTAGGATGTGAACACTCACCTTAACTTTTTGAATTTTTTGGATGATTTGCACTTTATCAGAAAGGAAGTGTGAATGTGAATTTTCAGTGGTGTGGGAACACCTGTGGGCCTGTTTCATTTGGAGTAAATGTGTGACATTTTTGTTTCATTTTCAGGGTGAAACAAGAAGCATTTCATTTGCACATCCTTTTGGGACTTGGGATAGAATGTTCCAGTTTATTAGCAGCAACTGCTAGAAGAAAGGGTTTGGGGTTTTTGGTTTAATTACTTCTAAGAAAAATTTAATAGTGAACTATTTAGAAAGAGAAAGAAGAGTGTCAGTTTGGGATTATGAAACAAATCAATTAAAACTTTTGTTTAAACTGTTCAGGATTTGATTTCAAAAATTGACCTTTATATGGTTTCGACACTTTGTTTTGATAGAGGATATGTTACCCGTTATGAAGACTACAGATCTGTATTTGGCACTATTCTTTAAGATCTTCCTCCCTTTTAAAATACTCTGTTTGAGATCTTGTTTTTTCACTCATGGAGAACATGATACTATGCTTCTCATGGAATAAAATAATGTTTTATTTTAACCAAATGCACACCAAAGCAAAGGAAGGTTTCAGACCTTTGAACTGGTATGGTTTGGCAGAATATGATTAATTGTAGCTATATTTGATGACTTAAATAGGAATAGGAATTAAATGGACAGCAAATAAAAAATAAAAACCATGGTTTAGTGTAAATCATAGTTTGACAGTTTTATGTCTTTAGAAGTGTTTTGCCTTTTTAAGCCTTGTGCTAAAGGCATTGAACATTGGTGCCTGTCTATTTAAGGGGAGATTCTAATCTCAACTTAAAAGCTGTCTAAACTGCCCATAACCCCCAATTTGTTGGTTTTGGGTGAATCGAGCGTGTGTGTTAGTCTTGAAATTGTGGAGTGATGTGTTAGCAGTCCAGACTGGTGAGGACATTATGGCCGCACTTGAATTTAAACCAGCTCTAGATAGGAAAAAACAACATCTGAGTTCTCATTTGCTCTTTCCGTGGGGTCGCACATCCCATGTTTTAGAACAAGTAGGGGTGCCTTGCTTAAATAAAAATAGCATTTAATGTATATTTGTGTACGAGGGCGTTTTGATTAAAGCTATACTTGGGTCACATTGTGGCAGTAGCTGCTGCTTTAATATCCAACAGCTTGTGATTTAAATAGTGGACAAAATGGCCGGCCTCCCGATGTAGTCCCTAATAAACTAGCTTTCTGTGTACCTGCCTCAGACAATCCACATCCTGTATACTGTTTTTGCTTTTTCCCTGACGCATGGTGACAGCAGCCACCAGGGCCAGGAGATGTGTCTTTGGTTCTTAAATTTGTCCAGATCTCTAAAAGGTGGTATCTGGGACATAGAACGACAGATTGTGTCTTCTTTGCTGTACTACGTGACCGTCTAACTGCCATCCGAGATACAAAACCCCTGTATTGTTGTCAATAAATGAAGGCTGATTTCAGGTTGAAGATTACCTGAGAGTATTTTTTATTGGAGTGCGTGAGTCAACTGATTGTATTTCATTCCATCTTTCCTGATATATAAGAAAAAGTATTAATTTTCATTTGCGCTTTTTTGTTTGTTTCATATGAGGGAAGTCAAACTGCTTGACATTTTTTAGCTGTAATATTTGGATAGGAACAAGTTTTCATTACTGGTTAACACTGGATTCTGGTTGGATGATGTTAACGCTGTCTTCTTCCCACCTCCTTTCAAAGTTGGTATTTAAATTTGTAGTGGAAAAGGTCTGTAGGACCTATGGGTTTGGAGTCGGTGAGGAATTCATGGTCTTGCAGTCATTTTTTTTTAAAGATTTATTTGTTTTTATTACGAAGTCAGATATACAGAGAGGAGGAGAGATAGGAAGATCCGTCCGATGATTCACTCACGAAATGACCACAATAGCCAGTGCTGCGCCTATCTGAAGCCAGGAGCCAGGAACTTCCTCCAGGTCTCCCACGCGGGTGCAGGATCCCAAAGCATTGGGCCATCCTCAACTGCTTTCCCAGGCCACAAGCAGGGAGTTGGCTGGGAAGTGGAGCTGCCGGGATTGGAACCTGTGCCCATAAGGGATCCCGGGCGTTCAAGGCGAGGACTCTAGCCGCTAGACCACGGTGCCAGGCCCGGTTTTGCAGTAATTTTAAGCTGATGCATTTCATTTGCACGTATTTGGGAAAAGAGCAAAAGCATTAGACACTCGTGATAGCTGACCTGGAAGGTGGCCCATCCTTGGGAAGTTCTCTGAGGAATCTGAATACTGCCTTTAGTTTTTGCTCACAATGGAGGCTCTTCAGTGAGTGGTGTGCTGAGTTAGAGAGCTTCCATCCTCTGGTTCACTTTACAGATGGGTGCAGTATCCAGGACTGGACTAGACCAAAGTCAGAGCTTGGGATTCCATCTGGGTCTCTGCCACCGGGATGGCAGAGGCCCAGGGACTCGGCCTGTCTTCTGCTGCTTTCCCTGGTGCATAACCAGGGCTGAAACTGTGCTCATGTGGGATATTGACATCACAGGTGGCTTAGCATGCTGTGCTACAAGGCCGTGCCTGGATTTCTTTTAATTGAGTTTCTTTTACTTTATTTATCTACTCCATGAGAAAGGTATTGAAAAGAATTGTGGAAATTGTGTATATGGCCAGGGTGTTCATATCTCCCTTTGATCCAGGTATTACAGAACTGTAAACGAGAACTCTTAAAAGCAGGTGTAGGAACCAGCATAATAGGATGACTCAATTGGCTAATCCTACACTTGCAAACACTATCATCCCGTGTGTATGCCAGATTGTGTCCCGGATGCTCCACTTCCCATTCAGTCCTCTATGGCCTGGGAAATCAATGGAGGATAGCCCAAGTCCCTGGGCTCCTGCACCCATGTGGGAGACCTGGAAGAAGCTCCTGGCTTCTGGCTTCGGATCAGCTCAGCTCTGGCTGTTGCAGTCACTTGGGGAGTGAATCAGTGGACAAAAGATCTTTCTGTCTCTCCTTCTGTCTATAAATTTGCCTTTCCAATAAAAATAATAAGTAAATAAGTGAATTTTTTTAAAAGGGTAGGATGTAGATACCAACAAGAAATTGGTGTGATCTGATAGCCTCAGTTTCACCGGCAGATGGAGCACGGCCAGCGTCCCCATGCCTGGCCGCAGAAGCATCTGCCCTTGGGAAGGGAGTCTGCTGGGGGGCTGGTGTCTCAGTACAGAGGAAGCCACTGTGCGAGCCCCGAGCCAGCTGGTGAGTCAGTGCGCCTCGGCAGCATCCTCTGCTCCGGTGTCCTGAGGCAGATCCTCATTATGACGTGGAATGGTATAGTTCCGTGGTCAAGTAGAGGCCAGACTGACTCTTGGGTTGCCTCTCGCTCCACTTATTTGCGGATTAGAAACTGTGATGGTTGTAGGAAAAAAATAAGTGAGAGCTGCCATTAGCTTTCTTTCTTTCCTTTTTTTTTTTTTTTTTTTAAAGATTTATTTTTATTATTTTTTCATTGGAAAGGCGGATATACAGAGAGGAGAGACAGAGAGGAAGATCTTCCGTCCGATGATTCACTCCCCAAGTGAGCGCAACGGGCCGATACTATGCTGATCCGAAGCCAGGAGCCTCTTCCGGGTCTCCCACGCGGGTGCAGGTTCCCAAAGCTTTGGGCCGTCCTCGACTGCTTTCCCGGGCCACAGGCAGGGAGCTGGAAGGGAAGCGGGGCTGCCGGGATTAGAACCGGCGCCCATATGGGATCCCGGGCGTGCAAGGCGAGGACCTTAACCACTTGCGCCACCGTGCCGGGCCCTCTTTCTTTCCTTTTTTTTTTTCTTTAATAATTCTGCATCATTTATTTTTTTTTCTGGGTAAGATTATTATTTCCACATTGTTATCTTCATGTATCTGAGGTAAATTGAGGGAGAAGCCCCAACTGGTTTCCCACCCACCCCAAGTTCCACATGTGGGGCATGCTCTGAGATACTCGCCCAAGTGGTTTTGATAGTTAGATTTATTTATTTATTGGAAAGTCAGATATACAGAGAGGAGGAGAGACAGAGAGGAAGATCTTCCATCCGATGATTCACTCACCAAATGACCACAATAGCCAGTGCTGCGCTGATCCGAAGCCAGGAGCCAGGAACTTCTTCCGGGTCTCCCACATGGGTGCAGGGTCCCAAAGCTTTAGGCTGTCCTCAACTGCTTTCCCAGGCCACAAGCAGGGAGTTGGATGGGAAGTGGAGCTGCCGGGATTAGAACCGGTGCCCATATAGGATCCTGGGTGCGTTCAAGGCAAGGACTTTAGCCGCTAGGCCACACTGCCGGGCCGTGCCATTAGCTTTCTTTGCAAGGCTGGTGTGCAGTTCCTGACTGCTTTGGCTGAGCCCCAGGGGATGTGTCTGCAGGGAACAGTTTTGTTAAGAAACGGCCAAGTGGGCTTCCTCCCATCAGTGCTGTTTGGTGGTGTCAGTATTACGGGTTTTAGCCATTCATTCTGTTAGGTGTGTGGTGACATACTGTTTTATCTATTTTTGTATTTGAGGGAGAACCTGTGTGCATCGGTTCATTCCGCCTGATGGCCTGTAATGGCTGGGCCTGTGTGTGGTCACAGGGACCAGGAACTTAACGCAAGCTTGTCGCATGGGTGGTGGAGGCTCAGCTATGAGCCATCCCCCGCTGTCTCCCAGGGTGTGCATTAGCAGGAAGCTGAACCCGGCATGCCAGGCTTAGCTGCTGGTTGCAGTGCTACCCCAGGTATCCTAGATTACCTTTTCAATTTCATGCTTACTTATTCAGCATCTTCTGATCGTTCTTTAGCACCTGTGTATCATCTTCTGTGAGCTGTTTGTTCAGGTCTTTTGCCTGGCGTTACGGCTATTCTTACCAATTCTTGGAAGTGGTTTAGGAAGATCTCGTATGTCCTAAGTCCTGGTTATATGAAAATAAAAATTAGTGGTCTCAAGGTTGTATTATTATTGTGTGTGTGTGTTTGAAGCAAAGTTTAAGAGATGGAGTATATGGTGGAGAGTGTCCCTTTGGTCCTCATGGTAGCCACTTGGTTTCTCTCCTCAGGCAGCCCTGTCATCACTTTGACATATATTTCTAGTGATTTTTACTGTATACCTATCTATCTATCTATATATATATATTGCATATATTAAGACTTCTTTGTTTCTTTTATATATAGTGTGCTATGCATATAAGTCTATTTTCCCAAACATCCCGAAGATCACTTTATATTAGATTATATAAAAATATCTTTCTTTATTCTTTTTAAATTGTAGAATGTGGATCTATGTAATTTAGCTTGTCCCTTCCTAATGAACATGTAAATTGTCTCTAAACTTTTGCTATTGTAATGCAGAAATGAATGACCTTGTATAAACTTGTCATTTTGTGTATACATCTCTCTGTAGAATCGATGGTTTAGAGTATGTGCACTGAGTTGATACTCTAGATTTTTGTGGATGTCTGCAGTTGTTATTTCATAGCACCAGCAATGCCAGGACCCGTTCCTCCTGAGCTGCTCGGACTCGGGAGTGGATTAGCCAATCTGTTTTTCCAGTTTAAAAAAATAAACCCAAACAAATCCATAATCGATACTTTCTTGACATGGTAGTGGTTTTTCACATTTTAGAGCTTGGTTGTTCCCCCCATCCCAACCCCGGGGACCTGTCTTCATATCTTAACATTTATCTTTTTTCTTTTCTTCTAAACCCATATTGGATACTTCAAGCATACAAAAAATGAGTTGAGAAAGCTCCCGTGGGCAGCAGTTACCAGTCAGGCTTTTTCACCTGACATATCTGTCTACTCAGGGTCACTCTCCGAAAGCGCGTCCTAAGGGCAGCTTTCATTTCAGCATTTCAGGAGAGAACTCTTAAAAAGCACTTTTTAAAACCACCCCTAAAAATAGGAACATATTCTTGCCACCAGATAACTAATTACCTGCAATGTCATTTTAAAAGAATTGCTCTGAGTCGGGAGTCAGACAGGCCACACACTGATATGGGTTCCCTGGTTCTCTTGTGATTTTTTTTGTTTGCTTTTGCTAGAAAGTTCCAATCATGCAAGCAACATGTCTGTACTGACCACCTAAGATTCTACATTTTTCCATTTTTTATCATATAACTTGTTCAGTCTTCATAGCAAAGTCAATTGTAGACATCTGCACTTTTATGTTTTCAGCATATAGGGGCACTCAAACGTGTGGGAAAATGGGATTGCAAAGGAAGTTGTTTTGAGGCAAAAAAGGCAGAAATCTGCGGTCTTTTTCCATAAACGTTTTGAAGATCCTGTGCATGTCATGAATTTTTCCTGGAAAAAGAGCATACAGTGACACAAGTTCAAACATTGGATGGATTTTTGGTGTATACCAGTGCAACCCAAATCCCTAGTAAACTATAGCATATTTCCATCATGCCAGTTCTTCTCCCCTCCTTTGCAAGGAACCACTGTTAGCATTCTATTCATGATTTACATTTGCCTATGCTAGTACTTAGCTA